GCTCTTCAGAATGATTGTATCAGCATACAACTTCATCAACAATGCATTAATGTTTTAATTTTCCCACATCCCTTCCAATATTTGTCATTTTCCTTTTTCGTCATATTAGCCAATCTGATAGGTGTGTGGTTGTAGCTCAGAGTTGTTTTAATTTGCATTTCTCAGGGCAGCTAGGTGGCGCAGTGGATAGAGCACTGGCCCTGAAGTCAGGAGGACCTGAGTTCAAATCTGGCCTCAGACCAAACACTTGACACGTACTAGCTGTGTGGCCTTGGGCAAGTCACTTAACCCTGATCACTTCACCAAAAAAAAAAAATTTGCATTTCTCTAATCAATAGTGATTTAGAGCATTTTTTATATGACTATAGATAGCTTTGATCACTTTGAAAACTACCTGTTCACATCCTTTAACTATCAATTGAAGAATGGCTCTTAGTTCTATAAATTTGACTCAGTTTTCTATATATTTGAGAAATTAGGTCTTTCTCAGAGAAAGTTGCTGTAAAGTTTTTTTTCACAAAAATGATTACCAAATATGTGTTTCCCTCCATCTTATTTTCCCCATTTATCTTACTCTCTTTCCTTTCATCCTGATCATTCTCAAAAGTGTTTTACTTCTGATTTTTACCTTCCCCAATCTGTCTTCCCTTCTATCAGTCCCCCCTTCTCTTATCCCCCTTCCCCTCCTACTTTCCTGCACGGTAAGATAAATTTCTACAGCCAACTGAATGTATATGTTATTCCCTCTTTGAGCCAATTCCTATGAGAGTAAGTTCACATGCCTTTCACCTTCCTTTCCCCCACCCTTCCCTACAATGTAAAATCTCTTTCAGGATAATTTACCCCATTCTACTTTTCCCTTTCCTCTTCTTTAAGTGCATTCTTCTTTCTCACCCTTTAATTTTATTTTTTTTAGATAATCATCCATCATGTTCAACTCACACCTGTGTTTTCTGTCTGTATATACTCCTTCTAATTGCCGTAATAATGAGAAAGTTTTTAGGAGTTACAAGTATCATTTTCCCACATAGGAATGTAAATGGTTTAACCTAATTGAATTCCTTATGATTTCTCTTTCTGTTTACCTTTTTATGCTTCTTTTGAGTCTTGTATTTGAAAGTCAAAATTTCTATTCGGCTCTGGTCTTTTTATCAGCAGAGTTTGAAAATTTTCTATTTTATTGAATATCCATTTTTCCCCCTCAAGGATTATATTCAGTTTTGCTGGATGAGTGACTCTTAGTTGTAATCCTAGCTCCTTTGCCCTCTGGAATATCATATTACAAGCCCTCCAATCCTTTAATATGGAAACTGCTAAATCTTGTGTTACCCTACTGTAGTTCCATGATATTTGAATTATTTCTTTTTGGTTTCTTGTAATATTTTCTTCTTGACCTGGGAGCTCTGGAATTTAGTTCTAATATTCCTGCGAGTTTTTGTTTTAGGTCTCTTTCAGGAGATGATCAGTGGATTCTTTCAACTTCTATTTTATCTTCTGGTTCTGGAATATCAGGGCAGTTTTCATTGATAACTTCTCGAAAGATGATGTCTAGGCTCTTTTTTTTTTTATTATGGCTTTCAAGTAGTTCAATAATTCTTAAATCATCTCTCCTTGATCTATTTTCCAGGTCAGTTGTTTTTCCAATGATATTTCATATTGTTTTCTATTTTTTCATTCTTTTGGTTTTGTTTTATTGTTTCTTGATTTCTCATAAAGTCATTAGCTTCCACTTGCTCAATTCTAATTTTTAAGGAATTATTTTCTTCAGTGAGCTTTTGTACCTTCTTTTCCATTTGGCCAACTCTACTTTTTAAGGACTTCTTTTCTTCAGTAGATTTTTTGCCTCCTTTACCATTTGGCCTATTCTGGTTTTTAGGATTTTTTTTTTTTTAAAGGTTGTTTTCTTCAGTATTTTTTTTGTGCCTCCTTTTCCAAGCTGTTCACTCTTTTTTCATTATTTTCTTGCATCAATTTCTCTTCCCAAATTTTTCCTCTACCTCCTTTTTGAGCTCTTCCATGGCCTGGGGCTAATTCATACCTTTCTTTGAGGCTTTGGATGGAGGAGTTTTGACTTTATTGTTTTCTTCTAAGTTTGTGTTCTGATCTTCCCTGTCACCATAGTAACTTTCTTTTTCTGTCAGGATCTTTTTTTGCTGTTTGCTCATTTTCCAGCCTATTTCTTGACCTTTAACTCTATGCTAAAGTGGGGCTCTGCTTCTGGAGTAGAGGAGGCATTGTCCTGAGCTTCAGATATTTTGTGCAGCTGTTTTCAGAGGTAATTATGGGGACCTGTAAGTTTTCTGTTTTTCCAAGACGGTATGTGTTCACTATTCTCCTGTACTGTGCACTGGTCTGTGAGCAACCATAAGCACTCTTTTCTGCCCTGGAACTGTGAGCAGGGTCTCTGCTCCCCTGTGCCCACAAGCTCTGGTGTGCTAGTACTCCTCCATGCCCTTGGACTGAGACTCAGGATTTCAACCCAGATCCAAGTATGGGCAATGCAACAGAGTCCTGCCCCTGGTACCAGCAAAGAGACCCCTGTAATCTCCTTCCGATTGTTGTCCAACCCCCTTAACATCTATGGGCTGAGAACTCCAGAAACCACCACTGCTGCCAGTGATTCAGTCACTCCATTGGCCTGCTCTTGGTTAGCTGGGGCCCAGGGCTGTGCTGGCAAAGCCTGCATTGGACTGAGTTCCACTCTCACCCTGGTGCAATAAACCTTTCCTACTGATCTTCTTGTCTTGGGCTGGAAAATTGTTTCTCCCCATCCTTTTGTGGCTTCTGCCACTCTAGTATTTGTTTTAAGTCATTATTTAAAGGTATTTGAAGTGGTTAGGGGAGAGCTCAGGCAAGTCTCTGCCTTTTCTCCACCATCTTGGCTTCACCTCCTGATTCTTTTAGACATAACCTATATTCTGATGCTCCAAGGAAAAACCTGGATGGTAGAATGAGCCAGAGAGTGATGCATGAGAAGTTCTCCCACCCAAGATTGAACCTTATCCCTGTAAATCCAGAGTTTTGGTTCTGTACCATGGGTTTATACACACATATATGATAAGGTCATTCCCCTACATCAAGATCTTCAGCGGCTATTTCCTGTCAAATGAAGTTCTAACTTCTTAGCACTCCACAATCTGGTTACAACTAATCCTTCCAATATTATCTCCTATTTCTTCCCTCCATGCACTCTAAACTCCACTCAGATTGTACTACTATCTGCCCCTGAATATGCCATCTGTTTTGAAGCTCTGTGCAACTCTCTAAGGCTTAGGAGGCCCCCACCTCCCTGTTTTCCTTGGCTGTATCCCTATCTAGGGATGTGCTGAGCAGTTCTCCAGCCAATTGTTAAACTCACATGTGAATATGGAATCAACAAATGCAACAAATGAGGGCTTGATTCATTGTTTTGTTGATTGTCTAGAACAAGAAAGTGCTGGGGAAAATGTTAGTAATGCAGAGTAAACTTAAAAGTGCATACTAAGTCCATTTTGGGGGAGGATACCTGTTGCTAAACATTGACCAGTATACCAGCTGTCTCTATCTACCCTCTTAAAGCCCAACTCAGGTTTTATCTTCTCCAGGAAGTCTTATCTGATCTCTGGCCAATATATTGGAATTCTCGTATAGCATTCTTTTTTGTTGTTCTAGATCTATGATTTCATAAATGTAAGGAATTTCCAGAGTGAAAATTACCCCCAACCAATCCAGAACTCATCTCTATTTATAGTCTTAGAGAATGGAGTTAACTGCTTGGAGCAATAAGAGATTGAATGATCTGTGGTCACACAGTTAGGTGTCTGAGTCGGGGCTTGAACTCGGCACTTTCTGATTCCAGAACTGTCCTTTTATCCACTGGCCACACTGTCTTTAATAATAATAGTAGTAAGCATTTATACAGTACTTTAGGTATGCAAAACGCCCTCTGTATTTTAACTGATTTGATCTTCACAACAAACCTAGTGGCAGCTAGGTGGCCCAGTGGGTGGAGCATTGGTCCAGGAGTCTGAAAGACTTGAGTTCAAATTCAGCCTCAGTCACTTACGAACTATGTGATCTGGGGCGAGTCACTTAACCTCTTTCAGCCTCAGTTTCCTCAAATGGGGATGATAATAATAGCACCTACCTCCCCAGGCTGTGATGAGGCTCAAATGAGATATATGAAAAGCACTTTGCCCAGTGCCTGACACATAGTAGGCACTTAATAAATGCTTGTTTACTTTCTAAACAATGTTATTATCCTCATTTTACCAATGAGGAAACTGAGGCTGAGGGAGGTTAAGGGATTTACGGTAATTGTATGAGACCAGGTTTCAACTCAGATCTCCCCGACTCCAAGTCCTGTACCATTAGTATTTTCATGCACTTATCAAGCATTATTGTATATTTCATAGTGTTGTCAATATTTATGTCTTGGCCCCTACTAGACTGAATTCCATGATGGCAGGGGCTATGTCTTACATAGATCTCACATCTCTTCCATCTTTAGCACGAATTTCTATATACATACACTAGTTACTTGCTGCAAAAATGGGAAAGTTTCGGGGATCAAGACCTGTTCTGCCTATAAAAATAAGTCCCTTCTTCCCTTCTCTGTTCCCTTCCTGCCCTGCCCCCCCACCCCCTACCCCGAGCCCAGATCCTGAGCTATAATTTTTCCTTGCTCTCTCCAGGCTCAAAGAGCAGGGTAGGAGGAGGGAAAGTGGTTGGGGAGGAAGGATGGGAAGATTACTGAGATGATAGGAGTTTCAGATGGAGGAGGGTGGGCCCTAAAGACAGACAGACATCAGAATAAAGCCAATTAGTCGGGGTCAGGCCTGAGAGAGGGGATGGGTTAATAAATGCTTGTTTCCCCAAGGTTGGGGCAGTAGGGATTACTCTGGACCCTAAGACTCCTGGAGGTCCTTTAAAAGGGAAAAGCAGGACTCCCAAGAGAGTCTGCTGAGCTTGCTGCTCTTGGCTGGGAGGGGAAGCACAAAGGGAGGCAGGAGACCAGGGGGTTACGCACTATCAGCAGAGGGGCCCTTTATTTGGTTGGCAGAGGCTGAGGAGGAGGAATGGTTTGCCTGCTGCCGAAGGTGGCCTTCGATGTGGTTTAGGACAGCCTCCAGCATATGCAGTCCATTGCAGAGCAAGACATGATCGGAAGGCGGTGAGCCCGACCTCGGGGGCAAAAGGAGCTCTGATGGCACAATCGATTGTTCTTGGGTGGTCTGGAGGGGGGAGAAATGTGAGGGTCAGAAGAGAGAAAGACCAAGAGATCAAGGAGTCATAGGGGAGAGTGGAGAGTCAAGGGATTTGTTGATGGAAAGCACCTTAGAGACTATCTAATCCAACTCCTTTATTTTACAGATGAGGAAACTGAGGCTCATAGAGGTTAAGTAGCTCATAGTCACACAGTTAGTTAGTGCCAGAAGTAGGATTTGAACTCAGATCTTTCTGACTCCAAGTCCAGTACTCTCTCCACTAAGCTTCTCTAAGACAACCAAGGGGTGTGTGAAATGGACAGGGCAGGAGAAAAGTTTCAAGTGATGGGTTGGGAGTGGGAGAAAAGCAGAGTAGTGGGGGAGCCAGGATCTTATCCACACTCACCGGGATTCGGGAGAAGATGATTTGGCGTCTTTGGTAGACAAAGTGGGTAACCACTATCAAAACGGTGACTGTGACAGCCGCCAGGGGGTAGACAGTGCCCATGGTGCTCAGGCCCATCCATCTGCCAGGGCAGGCCAGCCCCCCCCCACAGCTCACCAGACCTGGTGACTGGCATCCCCAGGGCTGCAAGTCTAGCCCCACCTGGTACCAGACAGGCCTGCTCAAAGCCTGGCTCGGGGGTGGCAACCACAGGGTCAGCAGTAGGAACAGAAACAGACATAGAGGCCCAGACCCCATCACCAACAATGCCCTATACCCTAGCCCCCCCAGCCCTCCCCTTAGAACCCTCTGCCATCACCTAGCAACCAGGCAAACATCCCCTCCCCCTCCCCTTCTCCATCCTGTCTGAGCATCTATGACCTTAGCCATCTTGTCCAAAGGCCACTTGAGAAGAATCATGATAAATCCCATTTCTCTAGTGCTCCAAAGCTCTCTTCATCACAGTCCTGTGAGGTGAGTCTTGAAAGTATTAGTCACCCCATTTTACAGATGAGGAAACTGAGGACCAAGGTGCAGTGACCCAGGGGGTGGAATCTCTGGCCATTGCACCAACCTGCTGAGAAGTTTCTCCATATGTTCTGACCTAAATTTCTCTCACTATCACCTTGTTATGTCCTCAGTTGCTCAAAGAATGACTCTTCCCATGGTCAGACAAGTCCCTTCCCCGTCAGCTCATGTCCAGGGTAATCTCTCAATGACTATTCTCCAAACTCCACTGACTCCCCAGAGGCTCCCTCAGCCCCTCCCACTGACTGCTACCCCAGGTCACCCTTTCTGTTGACCACCCTTCCATCATGAATCAACCCCCTTCCTGACTATTTTACTGGCCTCCTGCCAGAATCTGTTTGCCCAGGCCTCAGTTGACCATTTCCCTGCCCACTAAACGTTCCAGTGGCCCTCCACTGTGGATCACTTTTCCAACCAATCCTCCCACTGACCTTCCTCTATTCTCCCACAAACCATTTCCATAACTGTAATGGACACACTAAATCCATTGCTTTACTTAATCTCAAGGGTCTCTTTCAGCTCTAAGTCCGTTGTTCCAATGATCCTAGGTAGGTGTCGAGGCCAAACAGGGTCAGACCCCAGAGCCACCTCCCTATACTCCCCACTTCATCCTGACCCAAGAGAATGTGGACACACCTAATAAGACCCCTGGGATTCTTTCTTATTTCCTGATCAGCAACAATGTTGTCTGTCCATGTCCCTCAAACACTAACCTTCAACACAAAAACTCCACAGGGTCACAGGTCACTAGGGACACAAGGGAAGACTCCAGGAAATAAGTCTAATTATCTAGAGGCCAAGAGAGACACCCTGATCCCCAGCAGCTTGTGGTGGCACCAAGGACATAGGTGGTCATTCTCTAGCATTAATCAATCAACAAGTACCTGAACAATTAGATACCTATTCTGTTCCAGGCACTGAGCTAGGCACTGGGGTGCAAATACAAAGGAGCTTACATTATAATGAGAGACACAGGAGAGGACCTGCATTGACCTTGGGCTAAGGAGTGATCTAATGATTTTCACCACTTGGAGGCAGCAAGGAGCAAGGGAAAGAGCCCTATTCTTGGAATCAGAGGATGTGGGTGTGAATCCTACTTAGGTCACTTATTAGCTATATGACCTTGTACAGTTCCCTTCCCCTCTAGACCAGCTTCTTCCTCTGTAAAACTGGGGTCGGAGAGGGAGTGACTGGGTTGGATTCGATGGGTTCTAAGATCTCTTCCAGGTCTGATAATCTTTGGCCAATTGATAACCTGCACAGGAATAGTTTTGGTTATAATGGTCGAAAACTCCATGACCAGCACAGAGATCTGAAATCCCAACTCCAAATAGCAATAGATCTCCAAACCCATGGATTGACTGCAGGGGAATGGATCCTGGAGTGAGTTCCAGAATGAGTTATTTCCTTCCAAGAATTAGGACTCCTTCTTCACAGAAGTGACCTAAAGGAAGGAGAAATTAGGGAATGGGACTGCCAGAGGTGCAGAGTGTGGGTGAGGTAAGGGAGGAGTGGGTAAAGATAGGGAGCTTCTAAGGGAGACTGCATGAGGAAAGACACAGAGCCCAATGTTCTAGACATGGTGCTGCTGTTGTTGTTCAGCCATTTCTGTCCTGTCCAACTCTTTGAGACCCCATTTGGGGTTTTCTCGGCAAAGATATTGGATTGGTTTGCCATTTCCTTCTCCAGCTCATTTTACAGATGAGGAAACTGAGGCAAACAGGGCTAAGGGACCTGCCCGGGGTCACACAGCTAGTAAGTGTCTGAGGCTGGATTTGAAATCAGTCTACACACAGTAGGGTTTTCATAGATATTTGTTGGTCAAATGAATGAATGACTTCAGCAAGGAAGTCTACAGAGTTCTGCATGTCAGTTCAACATGGTTTAATAGAGTGCAGTTGATAAGGACTTTACCTCAGGAATTAAGAACATACTCAAGCCTGGAAAAGGAGCTCCAGGGTGAGGCCTCAGGAATCTAGAGAGACACAAGGAGCCTCTGATAGGAAACTAGTTGTCAGTGAGTAGGAACTGGAGAGGGCAATGGAATCCTAGGGCTTAACTCAGAGGGGGCACTTTGGGTTGGGTATATAGGAAATCTGTGATATAGGCAGGGGTGTGAAGGTAAATGTTTAGCACCCAGCTCTCCAGGGGGACAAAATCATATATGGGACACACTTTTTTTCAGAGGCAATCAGGGTTAAGTGACTTGACCAGAATCACAAAGCTAGTAAGTGTCCAGACTTTGGATTTGAACTAAGGTTCTCCTGACTCCAGGGTGGGTGCTCTATTCTCTGTAGTGACTAGCTGCCTCTAGAACAGCCTTTTAAGTTTGATCTGCATTATTAACATTTTCTCCACTTTGTTAAGTCTTGGTGGTCAACAAGACAATAAATCAAGCTCTGATTTGTAAAAAAAAAAAACTGCCCATTTCCAAGGGGTAAATGTTCACACTGAAAATTTAAGAGTAGGCTTTGCAGAAGTTAATTGACTTCAACAATTTAAAAATACCTGCTACTGTAATTTGGAACAATACCCCATAGTCACTAAACTGTATATACCCTTTGATCCAGTGATATCACCACCAGATCTATACCTCAAAGAGACCAAAGACAGAGGAAAAGTATCCACATGTACAAAAATATTTATAGCAGCTTTATTTGTGGAGGCAAAGAATTAGAAACTGAAGGTGTCCACCAGCTAGGAAATAGTTAAATAAACAATGGCATATGAATGTAATGGAATACTATTGTGCCATCAGAAATGATGAAAGGGAGAGTTTCAGAAGGAAGGAAGGCTTGTATGAACTGATACAGAGTGAAGTGCACAGAACCAGAATAATTTATCCAATAACAACAACATGGTAAAGACAAACAACTCTGAAAAACCTAAGAACTCTGATCAATGCAAAGACAAACCATGACTTCAAAGGACTCATGATGAGCCAGGCCATCCATCTCCTGACAGAGACGTGACAGACTCACTGTACAGAGTGAGACATACATTTTTGGGCATGACATATGGGTCTGTTTTGCTTGACTATGTATATTGGTCACAAGGATTTTATTTTTCTTTTAAATGTGAGTGGGTGATTGGTAGGGAGAGAAAATAAAGGTTTGTTCATTGAAAAATAAAATTTAAAACAAAACAAAACAAAACAAAACAAATACCTCCTGTGTGCAGAGAACAGTTAAACTGAATGACTGCCCATATAACATACATGAGGTACTATGCATTAATTAGCAGATTTTTGAGAAGTGGGGATATAACAGCAGCATCCTGACACTGAATCCCTGAATCTTTCTTCCTTCTCTATCTCTCAGACCCCAGCATCCCCATGGAAACTTCCTTTCCCTATGGAAGTCCTCCCTATCCTTGGACTGACCCATAAGTAATTATCTCCATTTTTCTCCCTCACTATCCAGAAGGGGCAAGGCAAGTCTTGTCCTCAGTCTCCTTGGCCCCTTTCTCCCATTGGTGAGCTTCTCCTTGAATCTCTATTTGGAAGAAAGACCTTTATACTTATCCTAAATTTAAAACTAAGCAAATTTAAGTTAAATAAAAAGTTTTCATTTGCTGTGTAAAAAAATAATAATCATCACCATATCCCCCAGATGGTTACCTTCTCCCCACACACTCACACATAGACACACTTTCAGCTCCCTTTAATGTGTTATTTTCTCCCATTAAAATACAAGCTCCTTGAGAGGAGTTTCTATTTTTCTTTTTGATTGTATATTTATCTTCAGCACTTAGCACATTGCCTGGCACATAGAAAGCACTTCGTATAAGTTTTTTGACTTGACTTGACCTCACCTGCAACCTCTGCGTCTCTGTAGATGTTCCCTGACCCCCATGGCTGGCAGATTCCCCCAGGACTATGTTCAGGCTCCCCCACCCCACCCCCCTTTCTGGAACTTTAGGCCTCTCAAGAAGAGAACCCAAGGAAGAAAAAGAAGAAAGGAAGGAGAAACCTGGGATCCCAGGTTGGGGATTGTACAGTTGGGAAGGTAGGTGAAACACACTTGAGATAGAATCCTTGGGACATGAGTGGAAAGGAGGCATTAGGGAAATTTAGGAGGTACTTGAGAATAGAGGGGAAAGAAAAAAGCAGATTTTGGCTCAGCACAAGGAAAAGCTTCCTAACGGTTAGACCCATCCCAAAGTAGAATGGGCTGCTTCCAGAGGTCTGCTTCCCTGAAGGTTTTTAACTGAGGAAGTTGGAGAAGGGACTTCCGTTACCAGGTCCTAAATTAATTACCTGAGGTCCCTTCTAGCTCTGAGATTCTGTGTTTTTGCTTTAAAGCCCAATTCAAATGCCAACCCCTCCAGGAAGCCTCTCTGATCTCCTCCCTAAGAGCTCCATAGCACCAGTCTGATTTAGTTATCATATAGCATTATGTATGATTATTATTATTACCTGTATTTCTTTCTTATTCCACCTTTCCTCTAATATTAGATGGTAAGCTCCCTGAGGAATGAGACTGTGACTTATCTAAGCCTTGCCTAACAGCTGTTTGAACCTCAAAGGTGAGGGACTCCGAGCTGAGGGCTTCATGGGGAGTAGTTTAGAGACTGAGACTCATCTTGTTCTCCAAGAAGTCCAGCAAGATAGAAAACAGAAGTGCTGGTGTGGGCCTGAGGCTGCAGTGGCCACCAGAAAGAGACATGCACGGAGGTGCAAGTTCTCTTCCAGGTCACAGGAGGAAAAAGAACAAGGCGAAAGACAGCCAGCCAAGAGAGGCACGGATAC